GTGTCGAGCACAAGCATCCAATAATACTGTACTGTGTTCTACCTAGCCAATAGATATATAGCTGCTCTTTCACCTCTACTCTATTCAACGAAAAAAACAAAAATCTGTTGATAAAAAAATTTTACCATTGTATGATCCTTTTATTTTTTATTTCGTTACTTCTTCACTTTTTAACAACACATATTTTCCTCAGATAAATTTTAAAATATCAAACAACTACCTGAATATCGCAAGTTAATCTTTAAATTTACTTTTTTATTTATTGATTTCAGGGTGCTTTAGCGTTTGCTCCAATTCATCTACATCCGGAGCCAAATGGAATGGAAATACTTTTAGTAAAGAGAGATTAAGCGTGAAAAATTACCAGAAAAATAGCTGACCGACTCTCCCTTGTTCTTTCCATGTAATTATACCCCAGGGTCGGTTTTACCCATTCTTCATTGTCTTACTCTGAGCTCTTACTTTTGAGTTTTTAACATTCTATTCAAGCACCCGCTTATGATAATTTATCAACTTTTTTTTTCTTTTTTTTTTTAAGTAAGACGAAAAAATCTGAAAAATTGAAAAATTCTAAGAAGAATTTTTGAGACCGGGGCTGCCAAGATAGGTATGTAAAGTTGATGATAGGGTCGCTGTAATGAACTCAAGAGACGACAAGTTCGTTCTCTGTGAATCGAATGCGAGCAAATGAATAAGTAAAATTTTCACGTGCCTTTTCTCAATACGTTATTGGAATTTCGTAATGAAAACCGCTGGAGGAATATCATCAGCCAATTTATTTAATTGTATGAATTTTGTCTTATTCATATTCATATTTGTTATGCAGAGAGTGTAAAGTTATTTTGGAATAATTATATTTTTAACGAAATTTTTAAGCTATAAATTTTTAACAAGTTTAATTTATTAAATTACAAACAAATACTCTAAATAATTTATCTCAAGCTTGAGTTTGGAATTATTAATTAAGGTTTTCCTAAAAATTTTATTTTTTGGAACATTGAACGAAAATTTTCATAAAGATTATTTTTTTTTTTTTAAGATTTTTTGCTTAATCTTAACTTAAAAAGTAAAAAATAATAAATAAAATTAAAGCTCCAAAGACTATGAAGATTTAATAACAGCACATAAAAGACAATCTCAATTTACCGAGTGCAGCTAGACAATGAGTACACATTGAAGAATGAGTGAATACACGGATTTTGCCTTCAGTTTCCTTAATCCATTTTTTAATACCTTCAATTTTATATTTAAAATTAGTTTTAGGAATAATCATTATAAAATTACTTAACTTTACTTTGATGATCATTAATAATTAAAAAATAACCTTGTATCCTGTGAACTATTGACATTTTTAAAGATATAAGCTCATCCTGATGTTATACTCATCGATACCTGTCATTTAAATACCCACATCAATTTTTCATATATTTATATATATTATATATATGTATATATGAAAAATATATCAAAATGCATGTGGGTACTCAAATGAAAGCTCTTGATGAGTATAACATCAGGATGAGCTTATATCTTTAAAAATATCAATAATTAAAAAATGACCTTGTATCTTGAGAACTATTGACATTTTTTAAGATATAAGCTCATCCTGATGTCACGCTCATTAAGACCTTTCATTTGAGTACCCACATCAATTTTGCATATATTTATATATATTATATATATGTATATATAGAAAATATATACAAATGCAGTGTACGGTACTACAATAGAAGTCTCTTGATAGAGTATACATCAGGATGAGCTTATATCTTTAAAAATATCAATAATTAAAAAATGACCTTGTATCTTGAGAACTATTGACATTTTTTAAGATATAAGCTCATCCTGATGTCATACTCATCGATACCTTTCATTTAAATACCCACATCAATTTTTCATATATTTTGAATATTTATATATATGTATATATGATAAATATATCAAAACGCATGTAGGTACTCAAATGAAAGCTCTTGATGAGTGTAACATCAGGATGAGCTTATATCTTTAAAAATGTCAATATTTAAGAAAGTACAGTGCAATTTAACAAAAATCATTATTTAATAAAGCAAAATTTTATTTATTTATAGTTCACAAGTCACGGCAGTCACATAGTGACTGCAAGGTTGCTAGGTGACAATCATGAAAATTCGAGTACGTAGCTATCTAGTTGTAACTTTAGGAATAAATATATGTAACATACATAAGAATTGAGAACATATATCACAAGTTCGAAATATTTGAAAGTTCTTATTCTTGAGTTGACAACTAGCCAATTGTAATACAACATTCTCCACTTACTGTTGATTTACTGGCGACTGACTCACGGGGGCTTTCACCGTTCGCTGAATTTACGAGTCCTTGTTGTGCTACGTACATTTACAGTAACAGTTACAGTTGTGTATGCTCACTTATGTGTGCTTGTATATACCTTGAAAAAGAAAGAAAAACTAAAGAAGACTGTATAGTAGTATTCTGCTAAGGGGTAGGTTTTGAAAAGCCACTGGAGCGTCACGGTGATAAAAGTTTACCACACACTCCACTCCCACCATTGCCCATCACCATCAGTATCACCATGACAATCCCCATCGCCTGTATAATACTAGTACCGTGTGGAACCAAGTTGTGACTCACATGGGGAATCTCAATGGATGCCACGTAGATCTAGCTTGGATCATCGCATTACGTGGTAAGCAAACGAAAAAGTACTGGGATCAATATGAAACCTCTTGAAATATATTTTCATCACGGAGTAAATTTTTATCTATTCTGCCTCGGGTTTTCTCTCCGAGAAATCATACCCGGCAATTGTGTAGATGAAAATACTGTAATCGAATGAAATTTCAGTAGAAAAAAAAAAAAATAATAAAATAATAAAATGGATCCAAACGAAGACCCGATAATGCAGAGGAAGAAATTTATTTTTAAATTCATGAAAAAATTAATACACTGATGGATTATAATATAGGTAGCTGCTTTACCATTTATTGGAAATGATAATTTTTTATTTATTATTTAATTTCAATGCCAAGAGAGTATCTTAACAAAAAGAATTATCATTTGATCAGAAAAGGGACAAATTAATTGTCAAAAAATATAAACACCTTATAAGTGGAGAGAAAGTGAAAAAACGATGAGAAAAAAAGATGTTGAATGTGTGGGAGGGTAGCAGTAGCTAGGGACAAGCATCACAACCGACTACTCGCGGTACGGTGTCTGCAGCAAACAATTCCAATTAACTTGCTGGAATTGAAATAGAACCACCCGTCCGTTCGTTCGTTCGTCCGACTCTCTGTCTGTCTGTCTGTCTGGTTGTCTGTTTGTGTCCTACAACGCTCTTGGTCGCAGTCTCGGTCTCGGTCTCAGTCTCTACTCGCATTGTGAATGCTGCGGATGCAGAGAAAACGCGAGCCATCCCTTTACTTTTTCCAACCCTCTTAAAAGACGTATAAACGCTTTCTCTGCCCAACCAAAGTAGAGGTACACTTTTTTTATGTGTACGTCGAGATACACTACTACGCTGAGAAAAAATAGCTGTATTAAATTTAGTATGCTTAACTAGTCCACCGTAGGAAAAAGAATTAATAAAAATATAATTAATTATTTTTCATTTTTATAAATATTTTATATCAAATGTCGATAGAAAAAAAAATTATGATCTACTATACACAATAAGAATAAATAAAAAAAAAAAACTTTAATAAATTAATGAAAAATAAATTACAAGAAATTAATTTTCTTTACAATTGTATTTCAAAACTCGTTCAAATTTTTCCGCAAATAGTATTTTTTCTCATACAAATTAAACGCCCTCTTCTGTTTTAATCTTTTTTAGATAGATATAATAATTTATTTATGCCAAAGTTAATACCAGATGGCAATTTTTGCAATATCCATACAAGAATTCTTAATGTATACAAATATAATTAAAAATAAATTTAATATAATTAAATTTATAATGATATAATTAATCTTTAACCTGTATTTACAAATAAATTTTGACCTATGGCTGCTTAAGGACAGAAAATTTCTCTAACTGCTAACTAAAAAAAATTAATTATAATTAAACAAAACAATAACAAGCTACAATTTTAATTCCTCAACTTTCCATCAAGCAAATAAGGAGATTAAATGATAAATTGAGTTGAAAAATTTATTTTTTTTAAGAGTAAACGTGTTGTTTCTTCATAAAGACTTTAGAAATCTACACCATAAGCTTTACAACCACTTTTTTTGATGTAAAAATAGCAAATTATCCGCATAAAAAATTTTTTGATTATTTTAACAACCAATTTTCTTTCTAACTGATGAATTTCGGATGATTTTGATGATTTTTGGATGAAAACAGAGCATACCTTCATGATCATGGTTAAAAAATGCAATACAATAATATTAAATTTACGCGGATGTTTTAATTTGACAGACCTATAAAGCAGAAATAGTAAGTTTTGAGTGTACTCGTAGTTTATATCACTTTTGAGTGCACGTGTGTAGCAATCACGTAATTGCTACGAATTGGACCATAGGAAACGGAAGTGTGAGCCACGCTTCTAGAAGTGAAGAGGGAAGCCGCTTGTAATCAGTGACACAGAGACGGCAGAAGGATGAAGCACCAGAAGCACAGCAATGATGTAACAACAGCAACAACAAAACGTTGTCATTGCGACATTTGCACTCAGACCACGTCGTTGTTTAACAAGATTACAGCATTAACCAAACTGAATTTTGGCATTTCTGTACACCGAGTTCCTCGCTCCTTTACCTTGCATTGTTCGCTGATAAGCCACTAAACCTATTAATTTGATTCCAAACAATCTGACAAATTGTCTTTATTTTTCCGTTCATCATTTCACATTTTTAGGCTTGAAGGAATTAGAAAAAGTTGAAAAAATAAATTGAACCATAAATCAACAAAATCAATTTCATTTATTTTGGTAACAGTATGAAAGTATTATCTAGATAAGAATTACTTTTTTCTAAGCAATAATTTTATTAAAATTTTACATGGATTCAATAATGTCTGAAGGGGTTGTAATTCCAAAAACCCGTAAAAAGAAGTCTGCAATAACTGTCAAATTAATCCCGTGACTTTTAGCCTTGTGAAGCAGACTCTGGAATTCCTTATTCGCAAAAAGTGTGTCAGTGAGTTTTTGGAATTTTTCTGACTTGATAAGTTCCACAAAGAATCTAAAATCTTCGGAAGTTTCTAACTTCTCATGATAAAGATTCTTGATGTTTTCGTAGGGCAGCAATGCTTTGATAGCCTCAATAAGCCCAGCAACTCCAGGTTTGCTGACAAATAGCAAATTCTTCTTAAAACCAAGCTGATAGTAATCAATACCCAGAAAACTGTGAATATCATTGATCCACTTGCCGACATTGAATCCAATAGAGCTCAATTCCTTCAAAATGTCATTGTACTCCGGAATTTGGTTCAAAGCTTGGTCCAGTACTCTAAACTCTTCCGAGCGAAGGTAAATTGCAACTTTCTGGACCTCGTCGTCGTGCATAACGTAGTCAACGACAGTAAAGATGATCTTCTCAAACGACACCAGCGCAAAAAAGTCATTCAGATCGTCGTTGAGGTTCCTGAACCCTCTTCTGGACGGAGAAGCTGGAAGACTTGGATATTCCGGGAACTTCAAACCAATCAGCTCTGAAAGAAACTCAGTGATTTTGTTGATACTAATTCCGTACATGTAAGCTTGTGCACCCAATTCTTGCAAGTTAGGGTTTACGACTAGCTTATCAACACGAGCTTGGAATTCTGGACTCTTTAGCTGCTCATGAAAGAACTTGAACTCTTCAGAAGTTTTGATTTTGTGCTCGTACAAAGCCTTGAATTCGTCGTAAGGAATCACTTTGTGGATTTCGTTCAACATTCCTTGAATTCCTCCACCTGAATACATTGAGGTCAATTTTGAGATTTTTTGTTGAGATTGTGGATGAATATCCAAGAAATCGTTGATAGTGCTGACCAAATCATGAAAATCTGCTCCTAATCCTTTCAAATACTCAAAAAAATCAACAACTTCTGGGTCGTTTTCCACCCTGACCATCAAATCCTTGAACTCGTCCGACTTTAGGTACTCAACAGCAATAATAACTTCAACATCGTTCAAAATATAATCAACAGTGATCTTTGCGATTTTATCAAGCGGCAGCAAAACTATGAAATCGTTTAAATGGTCAGTGATAGTCCTTCTAAGACTTTTACTACTAGAAGGAAACTCGAGTCCAAACATAGTTGAAAGCAGATCAGCGACAGCTCTGACATCGACCCCAAACTTTTTAGCTGCTGTGATGATCTCTTGAAACTCTTGGTTCATAAGAAGAGTGTCAATGATCGCTTGGAATTTCGGCGATTGGAGCCGTTCAACGAGTTGTTTAAAATGGACGGATGTCTCCAATTTGTAATAGTACATCGCTTTAATTTCTTCAAACGGCAAAAGTGCTTTGATTTCAGCGATCAGACCAGCGACTCCATTGGTAGTCACCTTTTTCAGTGATCCTGATGGTTTAGGAAGATGAGGCAGGCCAACGAAGTCATGCAACTTGTTAATGAGGTCATAAACATTCAACCCGGATTCATGAAGGTAGTCATAGAAGCGGATAACATCTTCAATAGATTCTACTTCTCGCACTAATTCAACAAACTCTTCACTTTGCACGTATTCAATGACTGATTTGACCTCTTCATCATGTTCAACGTAGAGTACGACTACTTTTTCTATTTCTTGAAGGGGCAAAAGTCTTACAAAGTCATCCAAGTCATCGCGAAGGGAACGTTTGGCTCTGGTTTGGTGTAAATCAATATTTGAAGGGAACTCAAGACCAAAAACTGTAGACAACAAATCAGCTAATGCTTTTACGTCAACGCCAAATTTTTTGGCTGCTGCTAAAATTGCTTGGAATTCTTGATTTGCGAGCAGAGTGTCTATGATCGCTTGGAATTCCGGAGATTGGAGCCGTTCAACGAGTTGTTTAAAATGGACGGATGTCTCCAATTTGTGATAGTACATCGCTTTAATTTCTTCAAACGGCAAAAGTGCTTTGATTTCAGCGATCAGACCAGCGACTCCATTGGTAGTCACTTTTTTCAGTGATCCTGATGGTTTAGGAAGATGAGGTAGGCCAACGAAGTCATGCAACTTGTTAACGAGGTCATAAACATTCAACCCGGATTCATGAAGGTAGTCATAGAAGCGGATAACATCTTCAATGGCTTCTACTACTCGCACCAATTCAACAAACTCTTTACTTTGCACGTATTCAACGACTGATTTGACCTCTTCATCATGTTCAAGGTAGAGCATCGCCACTTCTCTCATCTTTTGAAAAGGCAAAAGTCTCATGAAATCATCCAAGTCATCATGCAGTGTTTTTTCTTCCTTAATACTCCGTAGCACCGAAGGGGAAGAAGGCACATCTGGAAATTCATAGCCTAGTATCGTCGAAAGGACACTTAGAATAGCTTTGACGTCCACTCCAGCTGCGATCATCTTCTGGAAAATGAACTGGATCTCCTCGTTGGTGAATATAAGATCAATTCCCTCTTGAAACTCTGGAGCCTTCAGCCTCTCGATCAACTTCTTGAATTCTTCCGACGTTTCCAGCTTCTCGTAGTACAGAGCTTTGAACTTCTCTTTTGGAAGCACTAGCATGATATCAGCAATTAGTCCAGCCATGCCTCCAGTTCTTCGGGTTGATTTCATCATTTTGAACGGCTCAAATGGACCCATTCCGATCAATCCGTGGATCCCGTTGACCTCCCGGTAAATATCTAATCCTGAATCGTATAGATACTTATACAACGCTTTGACGTGGTCCATTTTCTCGATTGCTCTGACCAGTTGGTGGAAATCTTCCGATTTGATGTACGCCATGGCTGCCTGCACTTCAGCGTCATTTTTCATGTAGTCTAAGAATATCGTCATCACTTTTATCTTCGGGATCAGTGCCATGAATTCGTCCAGATCATCTTGCAACCCACGCGTGCTTTTCACGGGACTTCCTTTGATGTTGACGGTGAAGGCTAGTCCAAAGACTAGCACCATAAATAACGACAGCTTCATCTGGAAATTTATTAGTGGTTAGAATATCAAATCACTGAAAAATTAGTTAACTAATTAATTCTTACCGCAAAGAGAGAGGTTCGTCGTTTGCTGATAAACTCCACGGAATTTGAATTTTTATATACGACTCTGACGACCAATCAGCCGATAAGATATAAGATAATTATTACACTTTATTGTTATCACTTGTGATTTATTATATTTGATAGGATTTATTGTTTTTCAAGTTCTTTACCTTGGAGATTTTCTTTAGTATGGAGGAGATTTTATTAAAAAATTTTTCATTGGCTAAAGCTAATATTTGTTGTTAATTATTTGCTAATTTGCGGTGATCATAACATATATTTATGTACGAAGAGTTTTTAATCATAAGATAATATGGATTATTGGAATCGATGCCTCTCAAAAATAATACCAAAGTTCAAACTTGGAAGATAAGAAAAGATATACTAGTGATATCTTTTTTATCTCACAGCGTTTTAATACCAACAGACTATATTCAAACGCGTATTCATAAAAAGGTGTAGTAAAATTTACTGCAGATGGATGTACAGCTGCTTCTCTGACTAGTAAAATATGGAAAATACCATGTGTTGTTACTTTTACTAGTTTTGTAAAAGTAACTGCGTGATAAATAATTTTTTTTTTACGGTTTTGAATTTTTTAATTCAAAGTTTTCGAGCTTTAATTAGAAAATATTGTGTTAAGGATTTGGATCTTTAATTACGAAAAATAAATAAATTAGAAAATTAATTGCAAACGCGAAATTTAAAACTTTTTAATTTTTTATATATTTATTTTTTACGACCGTAGATTTTATATTAGATAATATATTAAATGACATAATAAGTGTTTTATCGTTAAATAAAGTATTTTACTGTAATTTTTAGTAGATTTCATAAAAATCTAATTATTGCATTCGTCGTTATGGCGTAACTTTTAAAAAATTTCACTACTTTCTTACTCAGCTCGACAAATAAAATCAGTTTGATAAATAAAATCTCATTTTTTTAATTTTTTGATAAATATTTGAGAAACTATTTACTTTACAAGAAAATTTTTTGAACAAGATTAAATTTAAATAGTTTTAAATTATTTATTGAATTTTTTTTTTTTAATCAATGTATTAAATTATATATTATTATTAATAGTATTTTATAAAAAAAATTTTTTTTATGGCCTTTTTAATATAAAAATGATAAAAGAAAATTATTCATCTTTCTAATGTTCCACGTAATTTTTTTTACCGTCACACCACAGTAAAATTCAATGCTACTTTTCTCTATTTTCTATACAGCTATTGTTACCTATTATTAGAGGAATTATCTTAAGATAAAAAATTACAAAATATCTCACGATAATTTCAAAAAAAAATTCTTCCGTATATATCAATGCAAATTTTCGAGCTCGAAAAAATAATAACAACTTAATAAACAGCATAACGATAGAAATCTAATAAAAATCCTAACAAAGCGCTGAAGTTAAGTTGAATTTATCAATTTATCCATTTTTATTATATCTTTTTTCTTTGTTTCGTTATAAAAGTCCTCTTGGAAGCGGTTACCAGTAATAACGCGAGCAACAGCGAGAAGCCGTTACTGCCACGTGCCGTTATAATATCGACACAAGGTGTTGGTGTAGATCCAAAAGTTTTGTCCAGAACAAACACAGTGCAGGAGAAAATAATAATTTTATATGATTTTTCTACGAGGAAACGATAAAAGGAAAACTTTGTGCTCCTACCTCCCACTCTTAATAATTATGGCTGAATTATCTACCGTCTAGCCATTAAGCTTCGATACTCCTCCACAATTTTATTAATACAAGAACAAGTACAAGCTCAAGCTTTTGACTTTATTACAAATCTTTTAATATTATATATAATACATAATACATAAAACTGCATTCTCAGTGAATCAAAAGACCGGAGAACAGTGTTCATATAAAATTCATATTACAGCGTAACTCGGAGCTTCTTTTCGAAACATAACCTCCGGCAAACAGGGAAGAATGAAGAAAGGAGAGCGTGGAATAGAATGGAAGAAATAATATAACCAACCTGCGGGAAAAAAAAAAAAAAAAAAAAATGAAAGAGCGTTAAAATCTTTTGTGTATACTCAGTTTGCGCTCTCATCGCAGTCTCGTACACCGAGTAAGTGAATAAGTTAAATAAGAGCTCGAGGATTTTACACCAAGTCGATTTTGCGATGCTACACTTGTAGATTGAGCAAAATGGCTTCTACTTGTACTATTATTATTCTTCTTCTTCTTCTTGTTCTTACTCGAGTAAGGCACGTGCAGTATAGTGTTAAATCTAATAAAATTATCGCTACTTTATTCTATCTGTTATATTAATATTATTTGAAATTACATTTAGCGAATTAAGAGACCCTTTGCTTGACGCTCGATCGATCTTGCAGACACCTGCACAAGAAGTGAAAAGTAAGCTAAACTTGAACTCACTTATCTTAATTACTCAATTATATTTATGTTTTTTATTTTTTTTTTTTTTTTTTTTTTTTTTAGAACAGGCGCGAAGAAAGCTTCGAGGAAAAAAGTTTAAATTCAACGATCAAGAGCTTTTGCTTTTCCTCCTACTTTCCACTTTTCTTTTATAAGTTAGTACCACCTGCTCAAACATCGGGTGCTTGTTATTTATCGAGCGGCTACGCGAGCCCATTCGTACCACGCGGTGGTGCTTTTTAGCTTTCTCCGTTCGATTCTCCGTCTCGACTTACCCCAGACCTTTAATTTTTTTTTTTTGGTTTAAAAAAACTGGGAAATTAAGATGATGAATATTGAGAGGAAATAATAACAACAATATTTAATTAGAATTTTATTGTTATTACAGTTTAATATCGGGAGTTAATTTTTTATAAAGATTATTTTGTTTTATTAATTGATGACTTTTGTTAAATTGCATTGTACTTTGTTAACTATAGACATGTATAAAGATATACTCAAGAAAATGCTCTATCTCCGGATACATAATTAAGAAATGACCTTGTATCTGACCTTATAAATGACCTCATCCTGATGTTACACTCATCAAGAGCTTTTATTTGAGTACCCACATCAATTTTTTATATATATACATATATAATATATAATATATATAAATATATGAAAATTTGATGTAGGTACTCAAATGAAAGGTCTCGATGAGTGTAATGTCGAGGTGAGCTTATATCTTTAAAAATGTCAATAGTTCATAAGATACGAGGTCATTTCTTAATTGTGTAATATATATTTTGAAGATATAAGCCCATTCCGATGTTACACTCTTCAAGAGCTTTCATTTGAGTACCCACATGCATTTTTGATATATTTTTCATATATACATATATATAATATATATAAATATATAAAATATATGAAAAATTGATGTAGGTACTCAAATGAAAGGTCTCGATGAGTGTAATGTCGGGGTGAGCTTATATCTTTAAAAATGTCAATAATTCACAAAATATAAGGCCATTTCTTATACATAAGGCCTTTTCGAATACAGCCTACATATTTAGTATATTATAATAAATTGAGAATAATATAAAACCATGAAAAGGCACAACAGGTCAAGACTTTTCCAACGATACCATATTTAACCATAAAAATCCATTTTATCATATAAATACACTGGCCACAAAATTTTGATTATTTTCTTAATAATATAGATTAACACTAACACTTACAATTAAATAAAATTTATTTAATCTTACTAAAATTACCTTTTATATGAAAATTTTTAGAATTTTTCAACAAATAAATTATTATAAAGATAATTCATCAAAAAATTTAGTTTTAAAAATTAAAAAGAAATTTTTTTAATAAATAAAAATTTCGAAGTACAATTTAAATATTTTTAAACACTTGAAAACAATTTTTCCAATCATTTATTTCGCATTGATCCTAATAAAATTTTAAAAATGTGTTACTATTATCATTAATTGTAATTAATCACTATTATTATGGTTATGATAGTACCTTGAAGATGAGTAAAATTAAATGAATTGAATAATTGTTAATTTAGGATAAGAAATATAAGATAGCACTTAATTGGGGAAGCTTATATTTCACGGTAAGTAAACCCAGTGTACAAACAAGTAATGTGGTCGGGTGAGTCTTGCTTTTGCTCATCTACCCGTCGTCAAACACCTGACTAACTATATTTTCCCTATTCCTAGTTCCCTGTTCTACAATTTTTCTCAAAAAAGTCCATAATTTAAAACTATATTATAAATTATAATATCTTTACTCATTATACCACAATTTATATAATTTTCCAAGCGGATAAAACAACAAAGTAAAGCGAGTTTCCACGGACCAAATAAAAAACATAAAAAAATGATCAATAGATTAACTTTTCTCGGAAGTTAAAACAGAGGTTGAGTGAGCGCATGTACAATCCCCGATAACAAGCAAACTTTGGCCATCCTGGCTACTCGAGCAAAAGTAATTATGCTCGTATTACTCGTCGAGTTACATTAATTAATGCCATCAAAATACAACAGTTTGAAATTTAATCTCTTTAGATCTTTTCAATAAGAACATTTATCATTTATTTTATGCAATCTCAATTATATATTATTATTTTTATTTCTTATGTATTCATTATCAACAAATACCACATATAGCTTATCAGAAAACTGTTGAGTTTATCCGTAGGTGACTTTTCGAATAATTATTATTACCGGTGATTAAAACACACCCTGTCGGTTTCCGAGCTTGATGATAGCATATCATTAAAGATGAGCAAACAATCTCGAAATTTACCTCTGAGCAACCAGACCGAGAATCACATTTCACATTCGGCGGACTCGTGTCCGTTGTTTGCTTAATTTCTGAAAAGTTTGCGAACTATTCGTCCAAAATATGCAAAACACAATTACTTAAAAAAATATAAGTTTTAATTACAAAATTAGGATCTCAAATTTAGCAACTACGAATTACTTGCCAGTAATTTGGCTTAGTTACAATGAAAAAAA